CATCTATCCATCCATTCATCATACATCTATCCATCCATTCATCATACATCTATCCATCCATTCATCATACATCTATCCATCCATTTATCATCCATCCATCCATCCATTCATCTATCCATCCTCAACCATCATACATCTATCCATCCATTTATCATCCATCCATCACCCAGCAAACTTTATTGTGACAGGCCTAACCTCAGCAATGGGCACATCAACATAAAGCTTTTTATCTTTTTGCTTTTTATCACCCACCTTTCAGCAGCAGGTGATGAAAAGCATTTGTACTAACACCCTGATGATAGTAAAAGTATTTTTAGAAGCAACCGCAGTAAATACAATAAATACATTTTTCCCAGCCTTCGTACAGCTTTGTTCTTAATTCCGTGTATTTTTGATTCTTTGTTCATCGTCCGCACATGAAACTCCTGCCGTTTCATTCTGTGCAGTTTTTTCACTCCTGGGGGGACAGGGTTTGAGGCTTTCATCAGCTCGGCGGGGGTCCTGGTGGTGGCTGTGTGCACGAAGAAGGAGTATGTGACAGTCATGCTGCCTGACTACTGCTTCTGCGACTCTCTCTGGGTGAGAATCATTTGGAACGGATGCGTCATTTTCAGGAAAAGACGCGCGGCGTGCTGCGAGAACACGTTTGGAATCTGAATCTCTCGATGCCTAATGAGAATGAGCAGCTGTTGTGTGTTTAATGAGCTTCATCGTGGCTCGTTTTGGGTCTACAGCACAGCGTCGGTGTGGTGCACGTACCAGGAAAGAGGCCGTTTGGACAGAGTCTCGTCTACATTTACGTGGACGGGCAGCAGAAATTGTCTGCCCCCCTCAAATACCCCGTCATGACTGAGGTGAGACGTAAATATACTTAAGTAACGGATGTAACAATCTGTCATGTTCATAAATATTGCCCGTTTGCTTTACAGTCCTTCACCTCCTGCTGCATCGGCTCGGCAGGCCACCGCACCACCACTCCGCCTCCCTCCCAAATCCCAGACCCTCCCTTCTCCTCTGCCGCCACGCCCACCACTCGCTCCTCGCTTGGCGGCATCCTCTCGCCGCAGACCTGGGGCGGGCTCCTCGGGGGGAAGCCCGAGTCCGTGACTAAGCTCATCTCGGCGGGGACCCAGGACAGCGAGTGGGGCAGCCCGACGTCCCTGCAGGGCCAGCTCGGAAGCGTCTTGGTGTTTCACGAGCCCCTGCAGCCCAATCACCTCAAGGCCTTCTGTAGTGCTGGTAAGCAGCGTGGCATCATGGGAGGAATCGCAAACCAGGGGCTGTTTGTTCTCTTTGTGTTTGATTGTAACTTTTCTTTATCCACTCAGGTCCAAACTGCATCTCTCCGTTTAAAGCCCAGGAATCAGAACTTGCTGATATTTCTACCAAACTTCTGTTGCATTACTCGCCCAAGGTGCTCGCACTATTCTTTCTCAAAATCATATTGTTTACTCTAGAGATGGGATATAAAACATTATACACCCTCTGACAAACTATTATACAACAATGTGTCAATCTATAGCATAGCCCGGACCTTGTGTAACCTTTGACCTTGACTTTTAGAGCTGGGGTGACGAAAAGTAAACGGGATATGCTGCGGTACAACTTTGTATCAAGTTTCATTAAATTATTTTGAGCGTATCCGAAGTCATGGCCTAGAATAGCCAAATCCTTTTAAACTTTGACCTTGATTTTTGACCTTTCTTTTGAAACTAGGATAATGAAACGTGTATGACACTTCGTCGTCGATGATGTATACGTGTATGAAGTTTTAACTTATCTTGAGCTGATCAGAAGTTATTTGTGGGACAAGACGAAGTCGATGTACGGACAAGCGTACATACCATAATCCGTGGATTATACCTTTTGACGCGCGTACGATAACCAACACGCACGATTACATTGGATCGGTTTAGTTTGGGGATTAAATCCAGAGGTATTTTTATGTCTTTGCACAAAATAAAATCCAAGAATAACCAGGTTAGTCGAACGCTGTGGAGAGCCATTTCATTCAAAATTAAATAAATAAATAAACAGCGTTATTTAAAAATTATTAATAAATATTCCATTAAATTTAAAAAAATGGCCCCATGAAATAAAACGTTTAAATAAAAATATTTAGTTTTTTCCAAAATTTATTATTTATTTATTTTTATTTAACTCGAGATTTATTTATTTTTAATAATGGAGTTTCATTTTGTGACTGTTTTATTTTGTAAAACTACTTCACATGTTTCAGGGGCTTTTATTTTTTAACCCCGTTTTGCTCATTTTTAAGCTCTTTTTATTTAATGTTCTTATTTTCAAATAAGGGGGCGGGGTTTTCTCTATGGGGCGGGTCTGCTCAGGGTCAATGCATCATCAATAAATAAATCAATAATAAAATAGACGGTGGCCTCTCAAGTGTCGTGCGTTGGCCGTGAGACACGTGCATTTCATGACGTGCACACTTTGTATTTCTCACGCTAAAACACACGGAGGCCTTTCTTTAAGAGGAACCAATGTGCAGCACAATGTTTCCGCACGGGCTGGAGCACAGTAGCGGACATGGTTCCAGTGTTGCCGACATGTGTTCAGACCCCTCTAGTGACTTTTTTAAGCGACTAGCGACAAATCTAGAAACTTCTTTTCTGCGTTACTGGAGACTTTGACGAAAGCACGTTCGCAGCGTGCCGTAAGCCCCTCCCACTTCCCCAGGCTCTGACAGCTGTCAGTCTGAGAGCAGAGAGGAGATCCGCTCCACTCCGTGTCCACACTGCAAACGAATCACATCCTGGATTGCAACGCGGGATATAAATATAATGTAAATATATAATGCTCAATTTCATCAGCGAATCTTTGCATTTCATCTCGGAGTTCTCCAGTGTCCTCCATGTCATCCTGACGCTCTGAACACAGTTTACTCTACTCAAGAGTTGAAGGTAGCTGGACCAAGCGAGGGGAATACTCTGCTGTGATTGGTCAAAAAAGATAGAGAAAACCCCGCCCCCTCATTTGAATACAAGAACATGAAATGAAAAGAGCTTAAAATGAAAAACGGGGTTAAAAAAAATAAAAGCCCCTGAAATATGTGAAGTAGCTTTACAAAATAAAAGTGTCACGAAATGAAACTGTATTATTGGATAAATAACTCTTGAAATAAATAAAAATAAATCGTGGGGGAAAAAAACTAAACATTTTTATTTACATTTTCATGGGAACATTTATTTATTTAATGGAATATTAATATTTAAATAACTATTTAATTTTGAATAAAATGGCTCTCCATAGGAACCGTGTTGCCATGTATGTTTCTGCCGTGTTGCAGCGTTATTTGCTCGACGGTGACACCTACTGTTCAGGAGAGGGACTGCAGCAGCACTGGAATAATCCCAGTGCCTCAGTATTCCGAGACAAATTGGGAACGGCATTTGTAAGAGAACCTTCAAATAGTCTCAGAACATTTGTGGGGGCTCTTACCTCAGCGCCTCAGAATAGATGGAAAAATTAAAAGATTATTTACATTTTACTGCGGCTCTTTGAACAATAGCTGGTCTTTGATGCCTTGAACATCCTGGGGTTTTCTCACATCAAACTTCTCCACCCTGTGCAATATAAATTAAGGGGTTCAACGTTCTCAGTGCAGGCGCAATGAAGCAGATGCTGCTTGTAGAGAGAGCGCAACCTACCCTGCCCTTGTTTTTAGGCAGACATATTCATTATTTGAGATCTAATTTAAACAGAACTGTGTTTTTAATATTCATTATATTTGAATATCTGAGGTTATTCAAAAAAACGGCTCTGATTGTCCAGGTTTAACCATAATTATATAAAAAAAACTGAGTCCAAAGCCTGCTTATCTTCATTTCTTAGGTGTGGTTCAAAGTGGACAGGAGTAGGCAACAAAATAATGTGCGCAGCCAAGAATACATTTTTGCAAGAAGTACACAGAAAAACAGGCCGTGACTTCCAAAGATTTTCAGCAGACAATGCGTCCGCGCAGCTAGCTGGTCGCAAATACTCAGAATTCAGTGGGACTTCAAGGGACAATTTGCCAGTTTTAGTTCATTTTAATCGCAGATGAGTCTCCAGCGGTCGTGGCCAGTGAGGTACCGGCTTAATCAGCAACATTTTAAAAGAGTGTAGCCTCTTTTACACAAATCGTATGCATGAACTAAAATTCCAAAGGAAAATTCCTTGACGTTGAGATGTGGGGTTTTAAATACACGGTGAAATGACACGAATTGACAAAAGTGCACAATATTGAGTTGCCATGAAAACATTATCCTCTTGGAAATATTTTAGTCCTCGTGTTTCTAATGTCTCACCACAGCTAAGCTATTGTACTCTATGACTCTTGTTCCAACAGACTGTTGAGTCTCCCTCCACTGAGGGTCAGAAAGAGCCTCGTTGTGTCCGTTTCTAATTAGAATAAACATATTGACCGGGGCTGAGAGGACGTGTGGCGCTCCATGAGGAAATTTGAAACGGCAAATATGTTGGACTGGTACAGGACTTGTATGAGGACAGCAGGACATGTATGAGGACAGCAGGACATGTTTGAGGACAGCAGGACATGTATGAGGACAGCAGGACAATGTATGAGGACAGCAGGACATGTATGAGGACAGCAGGACATGTATGAGGACAGCAGGACATGTATGAGGACAGCAGGACATGTATGAGGACAGCAGGACATGTATGAGGACAGCAGGGCATGTATGAGGACAGCAGGACATGTATGAGGACAGCAGGACATGTTAGACTGGTACAGGACATGTATCAGGATAGTAGGACATGTATGAGGACAGTAGGACATGTATCAGGACAGTAGGACATGTATGAAGACAGTAGGACATGTTAGACTGATATAGAACTTGTATGAGGACAGCAGGACGTGTACAAGGACAGTAGGACATGTTAGACTGGTACAGGACATGTATGAGGACAGCAGGACATGTATGAGGACAGCAGGACATGTATGAGGACAGTAGGACATGTTTGAGGACAGTAGGACATGTATGAGGACAGCA